GACAAGTGGCGCGCTCACCACGCGAGCGGTTCGGGGATCAAATCCTGGGTCGTGAGTCGCCCTGGCCAACCAAGCCTTCCATCCAGGGTCAACCGTCACGTTCGAACATTTTCGGGATTTTTGCGACCCCCTAGCTCTCGAGGGGGTCCAGTTGCGACCCCCTGTTTTTGTTAATAAGAGTGCTAGACATGAATCCGTTGCGCCAGAAAGCGTCTGCGCGTGCGGCGTCAGCCTTGGAGCGCGGCAGGTATCACCCGGGCGCTGGAAGAACGGGACGCGGCGAAGAAAAAATTTTAGAGGGGAATAACTTTCTTGGGACGTATTTTTTTGACTTGTTGAGGTAGATTTTGATTGTGCCTGAGGTGCGCTTTCCAGAAAACTACAAGGATTGCCTAACTCTCCGGAAAGTACTTCTGTTAGAAGTGGAAAACCCAAAATTCTAAGAAGGCGCACCTTCAACTTTGAAGGCCCATAAAATCTTTCGTATGCGACATTTTGGAAATCTGTAAAAAGTTTCAGAAACTTCAAATATTTCTCTAACAAAATATAAAAAGTTTGACGATTGTCCTCTTTTTCAAAAAATCGCCCCGTTCGAACACTTTTTTTGAAATCGCGAGTTTTTGGGCTTTCAGCGGGCATAACTCACTTCATTTTCATTTCTGTGATGCACACTTTCCATGGGGTGAAAGAGCAGGATTTGCTCTTTCTAACAAGCCCTAAACCGTTTTTCAAAGTTCATTTTTCGAGAAAATCCCACGTTCGAACATTTGGATCCCATAGGTTTTTGAGCAGCACATGCGAGGTTTCGAGCTTTCAGCAATAATAACTTCCTTCAAAGAGCATGTTGGAAAGAGGCGAAGACATTTTTGAAGACGACGAGGTTTCTTCTTTCTTATTTGTTTCTTCATTGTCTGGAAGAACCGTCCTCAGAAAAGTAGGGTCCCGAAGAACTTTAATTTCAGCCCCGAGAAGTCAAACCTTTCATAGGGATGCATTCAACTGTTCTTTATTCCTCAAGGAAAACACCGTAATTTGCCTAAAACTGTCTCTCTGTGCATAATTAATCGAATCTAATGCGGTCTGCACAAGCAATTCTTGCCCTCGGATACGCCACGCACGCGCCTGTGGCTGGCAGTCCTCGAAATTGCGACCCCCTTCCGACCAAAATGCGACCCCTTCGTTCGAACAGTTCGAACGGACGGTTGACCCTGCTTCCATCCCTCCGGGGTCGGTTAATTGGTACCAGACTTGTCTGGGAGGATAAAAACACTGACTTGTACATCGGCTGGCCCCCGCAAGTCATTGTATAGGCCACATCGCATTCAAACGCCACTACGAATGTACAAATGGAAGTAGAATGCGTGCCGCATCCCAAAAAGGGATTGATCAACGGCAAATGCTTTATCCTTATCCTTTTATATTATATATATATATATATATATATACAGGGGTGGCCAAAAAAAGAGACACTTAGCCCATGGCGCACATCATCGAACTTTTCGTCGCACAGGGAGCCGATGTTAATGAAAGTTTTACGGCGTTATATTCCTTAGGTGTTCCCCGTAAACAGAAGCAAGCCCTCCTTCACTGCCCCTGCCGTCTTCAGAATATGACGTCATCTGCCGTCACCGTCGAGCTCAACGAGGCTTACCGAAATCGCTCCGACCTGAAGCTGCTACACAATTTCCTCAGTGAATTAATTGTTGAATAGCTTCCCAGAGACATTAGCTGTGAATGTGCAAAACCGCTTTTGACCTGCGTTTCAGAGACGTCGTAATCGTCTATGGTATCTCGACGACCTCGTTGAGCTCGTACCGTGCACAATGCTTCCGTGGGAAAATCTTCTGATGTCGTCGGTGTAGAAGGCTGTTGTGTAGCTTGTTGATAGATTATAACGCGCTCTTTTGCAGTTACTTATGTCCTATGCTGTCGTTGTCAGCCCTTGCTGCGAATGCTGATCGTTTCTATAAGCACATTACTCCTCAAAAATCAGGTTGGAGATCATATTTGGCTTTAGGTATATAATTCTGTGAGGTTCCTGTATAAATTTAGATTTGCGGATATGCCAGCACAGTTGATTGCGTTACTTTGTTGATGTTGACGTGTCTTTAACATTTGTTGGCCACCCCGGCACTGATTGAGCTAGTAATATTTCAGTTAGTGTCGAGGTGATGCGCATCGTTGTGCAGTACTCCAATCCTCGAGGTTGCCCGGAAACTCTTCAAAACCCTTTCATTGACTTGTTCACTTACAACACAACGGGTATTTCTCCGCGATCGCATCTCCGCCCGCGCCACGCGCTCTCTCCGCCGAATTGGAGACCCATGTGGAATATCCGCGCATTGAGATACTCCATCACCATTCACTCATTGACTGTTTAGACCACTCCACAGTTTCACTGAAGCTCCATCGAGAGACGGCTGCCCGCCTCGCTCCCTCACCCTGAGGCCCTGAACGCAACTGCACTTAAAACACATTACGTGAGTCCCATTCAACAGTGTAAACATCCAGCATGGTGTGATCGTGGTCATGTAAAATAGACGGACTCGATTAAGTTTGCGACTAGCGAGTGAAGCTGGATCGACGCGATGTACTCCTGTGCATCATAGTCAGAACTCGCTATGCGAATTACAAAATATTCGACATAAAAAAGAGTGGTAGGAGCGCATGCTTATCCTTCGATTGACTATGTACCTGCAGTGAAAAATATAATTTCCAGAGCCTACGAAAGATTAGTATAGTGTCGGTGAAGTCTCCACTCAATTCAGGTTGTGAGGGTCTCTCCTATTCTCCGTCTCGCAGAAATGATAATACTTATCTCCGCTTATGCTACTTTACTGGAGAAAGACCATTGGTTCTTTTGATATGGTACGAAATACGGATAAAGATATTAAAGTTGAACGATATCTCATTCGTTCAACACGATTCTCTTATTTTATAAGGTGAAAAGTCGTGTGGATAGGACTCATACTACTAATTAATCACGTACAATAATTGGCTGCCCAACGATCCCTATCTCGTACTCTTTTACTTGCACAATGAGCGTTGATAATAATCTCTGATCCCGTGAAAGTTATTACGCCTGCACACCCTTAGCCCTTTGCGGAGGTGTCCTTTCTCCTGGTCCAGGACCGTTCCCTTGGGTCATGGCAGGCGGAAATGTGAAAACGTTTCAGGGTTTCTCACCCATTACACCAATATTTATCAGAAGTCTACTTTAAATGAGTCGATTACGTGTCGTGAGCCCTCTAATCCTTATCTTGAGTATTGGAAGAAAAAATGGAGTGCCCCCCCCGAACTGGAGTTTCACCGGTATTTAGTCTCTCTCGGAACTACTGAGCCAAATTTCTGGAACGTGAGCCGACTCCTTGTGAAAGCCGATCTTGATCCGAAACGCTTCCTATTGGGTTCGTTTCCCCTGGGTTGTGCCACCTGCAGCAGGTTGAACAGCCCGTTCGCACTATGTATTGAACGCGGGGGTCGCGTCCACGATTGTGAGAAGGGAAGGGGTGGCATTTGATTGAGAAGAGTTGAATCATGTTTTCGGTAAGACAGAACTTTGTCTGAGTCTGGGTAATGAAAACGTACTGTTTCAGGTTGCGTTGAGACTGTCAAAAACTTGATGACTGGGTACGCGTGTGGGGTGGTGGGGAGTGACGATGCAACGTGAAAAGCGCCATAAATAAAAAGCATCAATCGTTTTATATCGGAGTGGTCTCCTGCGCGGTGCTACGCCACCTGGGCAAACACAAATGCTCGCACTTAGTGCTCTTATACGTATATGGGAACGGGCCACATCATCTATAGGACGGGGCATCATGAAGGTAACATGAGCAGAGAATCGCGTCCCGTACGTATATGAACGATGTTTTAGGATGCAAGAAGCTTTGATAGAGGATTGCATGCGTAGTGATTTAAAGCCTTAGAGATAAGTACGGATTGGACGAAGATTATCCTTACTTCTTACTTCTTACTTCTCGACCGCTATTCGTCCCGGGCACGCCAGAAACGCAGGTCGCACATCTTCCAGGTCGCTCTGCTTCGGGCTCTTCTGCGCCACAACTGGCCGTACATCTTCACGAGAGGTCAAGGTCAGTTCCTGCAATCCGGGTAGAATTTTGAGTTCAAACTCCTCCTTGTGTCTTAAGACTGTGAAAAGACGTAGAGGTCCTGATCTGTAATTCACCTTAAGCTTAATAATGTAAAACACTAGTTAATACATCGCCGAGCGAAGTGCCATATCCTAAAATTTCATATAAATTAGCTAGTAACAAACATTTCTGCAAAATATGCTAAACATAGCGTAACGGAGCTTGCTTATAATTACTGATATGTTGAAAATGTTTTAAATGGTAAAGAAGAAATTTTAGGTGGCACCCACCATTGGGTGCCATTGTCCCACGCGGCGGTCATAGTGGCACCCACCGGTGGGTGCCATTGTCGCCAAAGGGTTAAAACCGTTCAGCGAGAACGAAACATAGTTTTATGGTCCATACATGCATGCGTCCCTACAATATGCAATAAACCGTTTTGAAAAAGCGTTGCTTGACCTGAAAGACCCCCCTTGTGAGTACTGTGCTTTTCTAAGACCCTATAAGGCAACACGAATGTCACCTAAGATTGCTTTCAACAGGCTCTCAAGGAACATGAAATTTATCTATAAGAAAGTTAGAGAGGAGTTCTCTTATCAGAAAATAAATATCAAACAATCATATCAAATATCTTTACAATCAAATTTCCAACAACGCTAATTTTCAGTGCTTCACGAGATATGAGAAAAATCCACTGTTCATCTGTTGCTCAGATATTTTCCGGATTTTGTGCATCTGATTCGTTCTATTGCTTCTCTCGCGTTTTTCGCATTCCTTCTTCATGTCTGTTGGCATAAACTGCAGACTGCGATTCTCGAACACCTAAGGGAAGAATAGGTTGGTTAGGGTAATTACTTCCTGAAAATCGAAGGTCGGAAGCTCTCACCTCCAATGGACAAAATTCCTTATCTATGGGACAGCCTTTCGTGAGGTGAGTGATTGTGTGGTAGTTGTGGTGGAAAGCGCCATGGAAGAGGATCTGAAATGAAAACCATTACGGCCACACTTACATGATCATGTATCATTACATTATTATTACTTCCGGGCGGAAGTGGTGTAGTGGCAAGTGGCACGCTTACCACGCGAGCGGTCCGGGGATCAAATCCTGGGTCGTGAGTCGCCCGGGCCAACCAAGCCTTCCATCCCTCCGGGGTCGGTTAATTGGTACCAGACTTGTCTGGGAGGATAAAAACACTGACTTGTACATCGGCTGGCCCCGCAAGTCATTGTATAGGCCACATCGCATTCAAACGCCACTACGAATGTACAAATGGAAGTAGAATGCGTGCCGCATCCCAAAAAGGGATTGATCAACGGCAAATGCTTTATCCTTTTATCCCTTCTATTTCTCCAAACGCTCTGGGAAAAATTTGCTACAATGGGGCTTTTTGTGATCTGATTGAAATCTGGCCTCCATTATTGCGTCAGCACTGGAATGAAACGCCGTATTTGGGAGCAGGACATCAATTAACCCCCCTGTAGACGGAGGGTTAGCTAAATAATGGGTCAGTAATAGTGGAAGAGTGTCCGAGAACTCCTATGGCAGGTGTCAGATTTTTCGCAGGCTACTCATACAATTGGAACTACTTACAGCTGGTGCATCGATTGAATCGTACGAATCGCAAGCGACGTGCGGCAATTCTGAGATTGGTCGCGAAGTCTGAAACCTGCCCAATGCCAGTGAGATGCGAGAAGGTGAGGTGCCACCATTTAAAAAGGAAATATTTGAAGAAAATTTGGATATGATTTTCCAATCGCGATTCTTACCCTGACAGCTGGTCCTTCTCCTTCGAGAGTCCAAAGTTCAATGGCCACGGATGCGGTGTACTTGGCAGACCACCACGGATCACCTCCATCTCATCACCAAATGTCGACAGCAACGCAGCCACCGTTGTGTCGTGCTAGAAGCAACACAAACATTCGGAGGAAGTCATGGAAAATTTCTCAAACTCCTAAACAACTATCTACGCTTTCTAATTCAGAAACTCCAAAGCACAACATAAGCTCGTGCCCTGCGTCACCTTCGGGATGACATTTCGCTGGGACCGTTAACTCAGTGAGATTATCGGAACTGCAGACTAGTAGTGGTTCTGAACAACCAGAAACGCGGTCACTATTGAGCTTCTTAAGAGTAACTCGGTCAATGTCACTGCTACTGCCTTTGGCTCCTCCAGGACTGAAACAATAGAGGTAGGCTCATATGTACTTGTCGGAAACGGCGAATGACTGGAAGACGTTCGAATCTCCCTAGGTATGGATCACCATCAGCTCATGCTCAGTAAACGGACTACAGGCTCGACAGATAAATATTCTATTGTATTCAGCGCCCAAATTGTTCAATTGGGAATGATAGCAACCATCAGAGGCGCATTGAATATTGCTGCGATTATGGCCTGACGCTAAAGTACCATGGAAAACGAGATTTGCGAAGGGGGGACTCAAAAGTACTGACTCATTTTTTTAAGTCATGAAAGCCGTATACTAAAACATCGTAGAATAGTTGATGATTGCTCTCATAAGCCCTCTATCTATAATGAAGCAGATCTCAGCAGTACTTCAGTAATCGCCACACGCGAGCTGTCCCATGGAGGTCGTGTGGGCTTCACCGAGAGTAGAGAAACACCGCGGCTGATCAAGAATTGTTTTTTTGAAGCGTGGAAGTTGAGCATTTACAGTCTGCCAAATATGAATCTCTCCGCTGCGCTAATTCCGTCTCCCGTCCCTAAAGAATCTCTTGCATCGACGTCTGCACTGATGTCTCACTTCCCATCATGAAGGTTGCAGTGTTCCGCTCCAAGCTTGCGTGGCAAACAACATAGCCTTGTGCTCATACGCCGGCTTTAAACGGAATTCGTGGCCATAGATATTTAGAACCTACCGCGGAGTAAGCATAGTATTTGAGAGGTTTGATCCAATTGCATTCAGTTCGTTGCTTGGAGCTATTGAGACAGTCCATCTTGTGATTCATAAGATCAACGAGAGTACGAAGCATTGGTCCTGAAATAAAGTATTAGCCAGGTATGTACCCGTTTCAGGAAACCAGAGCGCGTCGAGTGCAGACCACACACCACAAGTGACGACGGCCTCCACAAAATGTAAATGTTTTCTGCCAATGAAATGATTAGCCTGTTGCAGTTGTATTCTATCAGTTGTCACTAATTACAACTATCATTTACCACCAATCAGCTATCACTATGAATCACTAGTTACCAGATTTACTTGGAGGCCGTCGTCACTTGTGGTGTGTGGTCTGCATTCGACGCGCTTCTGGTTTTCCGAAACAGATGGTAGAACTGTTGATGAACCACGGCCAAGACTGGGGGACTTTTTTTATGATAAAGGCGAAATTTGCATTTGTGTTCAATAAAAATAAGAATCGCTGCTATTATCGATATGTGGGTTACCAAAACTTTCAAACTAACCCCCTCTCAAACGGATCAACTCCGGCACGTATGGGTCTCCAATGCCATAAGTGTACTCGTTGACAAGGGAAGTGAGATTGCGAAGTCGCTTTGAGACCTCGTGGGTCATCCATTTTGGCTGGCTCATATTGTAGATCGTCTGAAAAGTGCGGCCGTGAAGAATAGGCTTTTAGAGACTTTTCATCACTACAACTCATATTATACCTCAATATGATGCACATCGTTAATGAGGTAGATAATTGGGAGCTCAACCTTCATTCCTGTATACTTCGAAAGATACTCGAGGAAATCCTGAAAAAGGAAGCTCATATTCTTCTCGTTTTTGATGCTATGATGAATTTCGAGTGACCAATCCTGGCCTTGTTGTCTTCAGCGATTTGTTTGAATTCTTTACTATTCTGTAATTCATCATCCAGCTGTACAGCTCGAGGACATGGAGCGAAGACGTTGCCAGCCTAAACAACTTCAGTATTTTCTCAGGGTTCAAAAGGAGTAGCCATTGAGACTCACATGATCTTCGTCAGTTGGGAGAGTGTGCACTGGAACTGGAGTCCAACCGCTAGGCCAGCTGAAAACTTGTCATTCAGGAAGCGAATGCGGCATAATACCAACTGCGTTGTTCTACCCATTATAAAAGGTGTCTTTGAATTTGATATTGAATTAGCAGTTATTTGTTCGTGAACCTGGCAAGAAGAGCGATGAAGAATGTTAGTGGTGAGGAAAAGCCAAAAGCGCCATCGAAAACACTGAAATTTGCCTTGTGAGGTCACCCGTGGTATGTCGGAGAGACACAACCAGGGTCAACCCTGCGTTGCGCAAATTCCAAAATTTTTACGACCCCCTTCCTTTTCGGGGGTATCGGTACGACCCCCCCCCCATATTAACTATCATGTCTTTCACATAATTTAATGCTCATCAATGCTCATCAATGATGGCAGTCACCAACATGGAGAAGTGGTGGACCGTGGTCAATCCGCGCGCTTTGTCTCGCTCAGAGGAGGGAATCGAGGCAAATGAAGTTTTATTCATTAAATAGAAGGAATTTCCAAATTTTTGCGTAAACCAATACATCATTTTAATCGTAAAGATTTCTACTTTCAGAAACCCACCAGGATTTTTTCGATCTCTCAACTTTCCTTACCTTATAATCTGAAAAACTAAACCTTGTAGCAATTACATTGCAATCCAAACCCCTCCATTCAGAAGGTTATATTTTCTTTCAGAAGCTGTTTCATGAAATCGGACACCAAAATTTTAAAAATATAAATAGTTTTCTTCCTGAGGAGTATTTGAAATGTTGTGGATGTTCAATATTTCAAAAAATCGTCCCGTTGTTCCGTTTTCTGTGCACACGCGAGTTTTTGACATTCAAACATTCATAACTTTCTTCATAATCAACTTTTTGCAAATGTCTAAGGCTAATTAGAAACTAGAAGATTAGAGCTTTCGAACAAGCACCTGAAAATTTTCCAGCGATCATTTTTTCAAAAAATAGTCCCGTTGTTCGTTTTGGGTGGTTTGGGGTCCGATTTTTGAGAAGGCGCGAGTTTTCGACATTCAAACGTTAATAACTTTCTTCATACTCAACATTTTGCAGATGTCTAAGGCTAATTAGAAACTAGAGGATTAATTCGAATAAAAGGATAAAGGATAAAGCATTTGCCGTTGATCAATCCCTTTTTGGGATGCGGCACGCATTCTACTTCCATTTGTACATTCGCAGTGGCGTTTGAATGCGATGTGGCCTATACAATGACTTGCGGGGGCCAGCCGATGTACAAGTCAGTGTTTTTATCCTCCCAGACAAGTCTGGTACCAATTAACCGACCCCGGAGGGATGGAAGGCTTGGTTGGCCCGGGCGACTCACGACCCAGGATTTGATCCCGGACCGCTCGCGTGGTAAGCGCGCCACTTGTCACTACACCACTTCCGCCCACTTCGAATAGGTGCTAAACTTCTTGAAATAATCACTCGCTCAAAAAATAGTCCCGTTGTTCCGTTTATTCCACCTTGATTTTTTTCAAGCCATTTTCCTGGACCGCGACTATGCAGTCTTCAAAGGCCCATAACTTCCTTTAAAATTAATGTGATGAGAAGCGATAAAAACTGTTGGAATCCACTCGAGGAGTACTTCATAATCACTGTGAAATTTTTCTGAAATTCTTTCTTCTTTCTCGATTTTCCTA